ACAGCCTTCTGGTGTCAAGATGGAGTCTGCTCAGCTCGCAGAGACTTCAACAAATACACTCCCTCCAAACACTGTAGAGACAGAGTCTTTGGAAGTGGCGTTGGAGGCTTTGATGGATAATATTGACCTTGATGACGATCACCAGTCTGTCTCACAGGAGAAGCAGGATGTCCCGCAGGAGCTGCAGGCAAGACAGCTACAAGAGACTCAGATCGATGAAGTGGAGGACAGCAGAGTTCTGAGTGAAGCGGAGACATGTGTGTTGGCTGTGAAACGTCATCATTGCTTCAACGCCTACTTGGAAGAATGTCTTAGGGGCCGAGCTCATATTGCCTTCGAGTGGAGACAAGACAGTCCTCACGAGAATCCCGCCCGAAATGTCAAAGACTTCAACAAGTACCTGGGGCGGAACAAGGAGCCTTTGCTAGACATCAAGGTTCTTCTTCGTGAAGATGAGTCGCACAGATTTCAACTCGACGGCATGTCAGAGTACATCTTTCCAGATCTTCTTCAGCGTGCGCGTGCCCATCCGCTTTTTGACATGTTCATGGAGGATGTTTACTCAAAACATGATGAGCAGAGGTACATGATTGAAGCATGGACATTTGGGTCTTGGGCACACTTGGACTTCGAGCTCTTCAACCGTTTCCTTGAGAAGAACAAGCAACAACCACTTGATCTATCCAGCGCATGGCCACCTGTTCTGGCAGGCTGGTCATTTGGCCTTAGCTCTGGAGAACTTCAGGACCTTGATGAAGAGCGCTTTGAACTTGCACTTGACAAGGCCAAAGCCCATCCATGCTTCCAGGAGTTTTGGAGCAAGGAGTGTGAGGAGAACCCTGATCGTGCTGAGTTTGAATTTGGGAGCGAAGAAGGAGACCCCTCTTGCGACCTTGATGCTTTTGTGCTGTTCCTGAGGGAGAAGGTCAAGATGGCTGACGCCGACACATCTACTCTCCAGCAAGCTGCCAAAGACGCCGAGGCGCAAGTTGTTGCAGACATTGAAACCACCGCTTGCATGAAGAATGGGTGGCCATCAATTTTCAATAGGTTGCAGTTCTGTGAGAGTCATCTTCAGACACCAGAGAACAGTCGTAGGAAGGAGAAGCGGGCTGGTGCTATGCCTTTGCCTTTTTCCTTCAAAAACAAGAAGCGACGTTCAAACAACTTGCAAGCACCAGAAGTCCTGATCAATTTGCTACAACCAGTGGACTTTGAAATGTCTGTGCGGGATCCCCTTCTACCTGCTTGTCAGGCCTCTGCCTCTTCACGTGATGCTATGGAAACAGTTGAGCCGGTTGCTCCTGCCCGTTCTGATGGTCCGGCTGAAGAGGAAGAGACTCAGGGTGGCATCGACTTGAGCAAAGGCCTGGTAATATTTTCTAAAGGCGGCATACGGCATACAGCATATGACATTTAGGTTATTAGTACACTCGGATCGCATAATATACAGTCGAGTCATATTAATATTCTGTATTAAAATTGTTTATAGTCATAGTCTATAGTTGCAACATATCAAAGCTCAGTATTTTACAGGACCACGTGAAACTAGCTTTTGTTTCTTTGAACCTCCTTGTCAGACATTGACAATGGCGATCTATTTATGGAAGGGGAAGTGGAATTGGACAGCAGTGGCCGGGCTTCTGAACAGGCCGCTCAAAGTCTCGTAGATTCAGCTTGGGATCAATATCCAGATTTGGATGACTTGCACACTTCTGCAGCAAAAGCCACTTTGTCGATGTACTTGAGTACAATCTCAGATTTCAATGCTATATCTATCTTGTGTGTTTATCTAATCTATTTCACTAATCATTTACACACATCCAGCAAAATCCAGCAAAACAAGGTCATGGCCGCGAAAATGCTTCAATACCATTCTCTTGAGCCATCTTCACAGATCTACAAAAATCTTGTGAGTCAGCCAGAGACTATTCAGACTGCATCGGTTTGCTCAGGGACTGGAGCGTCGCTTGACATGTGTTTTTGTTTGCTTGATGCAAATGCATTGACTATTTCATACATAACAGAACATAACATAGTTACATACTGGACTTTATATGACAGTTGTTATAAACGTTGCATACCGCTCCCTTGACACAGCAATCCCAAACGCCAATGCCCGCACATTCGGAGGTTCGAACAATGTGTCGCAGCAGCTGCAAGAGAATTGCGAAGTGCATTCGGGTTGCAATCTGAGGCCGGACTTGAGGTTAGCATTGCTGGGAGTATTCAAACTCAGATAGAAAAAGTTTGTAGCTTTTTAGCCTGTGCGGAAGGTCAATACAGCATTTGGGGCGGAGTCTGTGCCGTACAAGGCTTCCTATTGCTGTTCGTTTATGGATGAAGACGCCTGCATGTTCGAGGAGTAAAACAAAACTATTGGCTGATGGAAATTGAAAAGTAGTTTGCTGTGTTGATTTATTTTGATTCATTGTTTTGCTTTTGCTTTGTCAGGACGCCACAGTCCTGAAAGATGATGCAAAGAGGAAGTGCCGCGTTCATGGACAGAATTGCGAGTTGCCAGACCGTGTAGATGCATTTGGGGCAGGCTTTAGCTGTACCTCTTACAGTATGCTCAACAAGAACGCCTCAGAAAACGCCACCGCTATGACCAAATCTGTAAATCAAGATCCTTCCGAGCCCTAGCAAAATAATTTGTCTTGGATCGATGCGGGTCAACATTACAAGTACAGTACAAGTCATTTATTGTTTGCATTTACTGGACCATGCTGCTGCTAAGGGAAACGTGGCCAGCGTTACTACATTCCATGGTTGTTTGGATGTTCTTGATGAATGCTCACCTGTGTGGGCTGTATTCGAGAATGTGGAGAGCATTGACAGAGAAGTTGACGATGACACGTAGCTCACTTATTGTTTTAAAGGAGGAAACTGTAGCTCTGCATATACTGACTGTAACTGTTTGCAATCGTGATTCACAATTCAACTTGTTTTTGGTGCCCAAGGCAGACCAACCTCGAATTGTGTCTAGCCGCCATCGCAGATCGCGGCTACGCTAGCCAGAGTTTTCTCTTGGACGCACTATGGTTTGGGTTGCCCCAATCGAGAAGACGGGTGTACATTGTTTGCCTGTCAATCAGAGACAGGAATGTTGGGTGCTCCGCTGAAGATTTTCTATCAAATGTGCAAAGCATCATTACAAAGTTGTACCTGCAATCGCCTCCCGCTGAACCTTTGTCGGCTCTAGACTGTAGCGCTTTTTGGTTACTGTTGGTTGGTCCACCTAGATTCATCCCACTCTTGGTTCCATCTGAGGACAAGTTCCTTCTGCCCGATACACATGCTCTTGTCAAAGGCCATCTTCGGTCGCTTGAGGCAGATCGTCAGCAGAGACTGGCCAAGGAACAAGAACAAGATACAAGTAAGGCCCATCCTAAGAATCCCAGTTGGATGGCCTTGCACATGAATGTTGCGGAAAAACGTGCCTTGCCTTCAAGTTGGTGTTTTTTAATGACAGCTGATAGGAACGAGCTTTTTGAAGCCCTTTGCACTCTTGTCACTTGTCACTCAGGGTTTCCTTTCATGTGGTCCAAGGTGGTATTACTTGGCCGCTGAACGTGTGCAAGCAAGTCAAGGAGAGTCCTTGGTTCCGCGTCCTGACAGAACGTGCTCAAGAGGCAGGTTTGCTCAATGTGTGCAATCCACACTGTTTCTCAAAAAGCTGTAGCCCATGACCCTAGCCATAAGTGTGACTGTACTGTATTTATGTCACCTAGTGATTTCTCCTTTGTTTTGTCAGGTGGTTGGCTTTGCGTCTGATGAGCGTGAGCGCTTGGGAAAGCCCGTGGACTATGCAGACGTTTATCACTCTGCATCTCGGTATTCGACCGGGCGTGGGAATTTCCCGATTGTGCTGCCTCGCACAATTGGATGGACCTTCCTACGCCAGAGGCTTGTCCTGGGAAGGGAACTTATGATGTTCCAGGGGCATTCAGTGTCAGCAGACTGCGACTTAACGGAGGCTCAGCTAGGCAACATGGCTGGAAATGCGTGGCTAGGCTGCCTAGGCCCAAAAGGAAACAATGTTTTTCCAAGACAGTGTTGTTTTAAGCAGTTGTAATTTGCGACTTGTAACAACATGTAACAGTTACCATGTGAATCATTGTAGCCTAGTAGCCATTTCTTTGTTTGGAAACCAATGCCCATGCTGCATTGCCCATAGAAGCCCTTCCCTTTCTCTTCCGTTTACATCACTGCTTTTCTTTCGTGTTTGTGGGTGCTCAGTGCTCCCTATAATTCGGTATGATTCGATATGATATGATATGATTTGATCCAATAGATATTATTATATTATATTATTATATAGTCATATTCCCTTTGCCTTCTTGCAGTCCCATCCCAGATTTGCTGGCAACGTGGTGATCGCGGTGGTGACAGCTGTGCTCGGCTCCCTGAGATTCGTTAGTGAATCAGAGGATGAGGAAACAAACTCCATTTTGGATTTGGTGAATACAGTCACCGGTTGAATCAAAACGGTTCAACAAATTTCAGCACTAGTTCAGGTCTATGTGTGAGGCACTGTGCGAATGCTTGTGGCTTATGCCACGCCTATGTGAAAGACATGGGTTGGCATCGGGTGCATTGATCAGTGTCTGTGTAATTCCTTTGGGCACAAACCTGTCAGAAATGCAAAGCATGGAAGAAACAATGCCTTTGTTGCACGTCTGTCCTGCGTCGCTCGCACGTCGTTCGTACGTCGCTCGCACGTCGTCCGTGCGTCGCTCGAACGTCGTTCGTACGTCGCTCGAACATCGTTCGTTCGTCGTTCGTACACATCGGCCATACCACGGGCGCTCAACAAGTCATTTTCATTTACGATGTGTTCGATTTAGATAAAATATATTTAAAGGCTTACGCCTAACAGCCGGGCGCCGGCCCACTTGGGTCTGTGTAGGGCTGGGTCGGGCGCACGTTAAGCTATCAGGGGCATACTGGGCCCTGGTGGTGCCGGAAACTGGTCTGCGTCGGAGACGGGGGCCCTATATTGAGCAAAGTTAAGCTATTTGGTGCGCATCTTGGCCCTAGGTTGTTGGGCCAAGTGGGGCCCATGTGGTCTATGTTGGGCATGTTGAGCCTCTATGTTTGGCCTATGTTGGCCTAGGTTGGGCCTATGTTGGGCCTATGTTGGCCCCATGTTGGCCTATGTTGGCCCTATGTTGAGCCATCTTGGAGGCTATGTTGAGCATATGTTGGAGATATGTTGGGGATATGTTGGCTACCTTGGGCCTATGTTGAGGATATGTTAGGCAACGTAAGTTGTCTGGAGGGCCTCTACCCACAAAATGTCGATTAAGCTTGTCCGCCCGGCGCGCATTACCGACACCACCCTTGAAAAACACAGCATTTTTGCATTTCTCCCTTTTCCCCGCGTCGTACTTCGATATGCGCAATAAACCCGGTAAAACACAGTGTTTTTTATACCTCACACACACGATACACTGTAAATTACAGGGGCTTCAGTGACCCGGTGGTCCGCCCGTTTTGATGACGAGGGTCGGCGGCAGGGGGCGCGCCCGTATATAACCTTCGGTTACCGCCGAAGGCCCTCCGGGCAGGGCACGGGCTTCGTGGCCGGCGCCCGGATTTATGAGGCTTACGCCTGACAGCCGGGCGCCGGCCTATTTGGGTTTGGGTATGTGCAGGGCTGGGTCCTGTCTCTCTCTCTCTTTGTCTCTCTGTCTCTCTCCCTCTCTCTCTCTCTCTCACACACCTGTCTCTCTCTTTGAGACTTGGTGGAGCTATCTGGTGCGCATCTTGGCCGTAGGTTGGGCCAAGTTGAGCCCATGCGGTCTATGTTGGGCACATCTTGGGCCCAAGTTGCGGCCTATGTTACGCCTATGTTGGCCTAGGTTGGGCCTATGTTGGCCCCATGTTGGCCTATGTTGGCCCTATGTTGAGCCATCTTGGAGGCTATGTTGGGCATATGTTGGCTATCTTGGGCCTATGTTGGGGATATGTTAGGCAACTTCTGTGCCCAACACCCACGAAATGTCGATTAAGCCTGTCCGCGCGGCACGCATAACTGACACCACGGGCACCCTGTCGTGGACGCCGAAGGCCACGAAACACTGTAAAAAACGATGTTTTTGAACAATTTTCGAACATCCAGCGCAAGATACATAAAAATCTGTCGACCGGATTTAACCTGAGGTCGACACGGGGTATACCGGAGGTCCAACAAAAGGGTCGGCGGCAGGGGGGCGCGAGCGTATATAACCTTCGGTTACCAACCGAAGGCCTCCGGCAAGGGAACGTGCGCGTGGCCGGCGCCCGGATTTACCAGGCTACCGCCTGCAGCCGCCGACCCCCAAGGGATAGAACCTTAGCTAGCTAGCCTTGCTCTAGCCAGAGAGGTGGGGTGAGGCGTGACTGTCGATGTTAGCCTTAAGCCTTAGCCTTAGCCTTAGCCTAGCCTTAGCCATAGACTTAGCCTTGCCTTAGACTTAGACTTAGACCTTACTTTTTTACCTTTTCGGACCCGGGGTTTGTTGTAAAAGGGAGTTGTAGGATTTCCCAGGTATGCGTAGAAAATTGCGAACCTATTTTCTTCCAGTGTTGTAGAATTTTCTAGGACTTCCTCTTGTGTTTAGGTTCCCAGATTTCCCCAAAAATTGATTATTCTATTGTTAACCTATTTGATTCTAGTGTTCCCGGCAAATGCCCTGGAATTTTCCTAGGAATGCTCTAGGCTTTGTTTAGATTTTGCGCTGGACGAGGTCCGGCCAGTGCCCGTGGTAACGTGAAAGGCTTTGGTAAGATTTTCGCATGCCTGTCAGGCGCCCGTGTCCGCGCCATGTGGCGTGTTGGTTCTAGGACGGAGCAGCGCGGGTGGACCGCGGTATTTTTTTCCCAGATTGACCATCGGACGTCATCTCTTGCATGAACCCCGTGATGCGGAGCCCTCCTCCCCATAAAGGATATCATTGCCCAAGAATTTAGACCCAAC